CAGGAACACCCTCATTATTGTCAAAGTGTCAAATAGAAGTTATTAGGTGTTATAAAAGAAAATGAACACCTGCCAGCTTAACACGCTGAACCAACAACAAACTCAACAGAACAGTGTCCTATTTAAAGGTTTCTGTCAAGTAAAGAGCCATTACCTCTTGATAATCCAGTAACAAAAAGACTTATAAAGTTAACTAAAGTTAACTAACGTAAGACTGAATCCAGAATTGCTCTGCCTGACTCGTGATTGATGGTTGAAACAGTCACAGCTGGTCAGCAGCTTTTCTCTCTCTCTTTCTCTCTCTCTTGATTTTACGGAGGATTTTAGAGGAACTCAACATCGAACAAAGCAGTCAAAAATAATTGAGCTAACTAAAAATAACCTTAAAGACGTGGGTGGGACAGATCAAACAGCTCCTGCATTGTGCTGGTCTTAAATTTGCCAGTCTGGTGCCATCCAGCATGTTTGTAGTCAGTACTTTCAGGGTGCACCGGGTCCGGTTTCCTTTTTTTGTACACTGGTTCCAAATTTAAGATAAAGGAGGTCATTGTCAGATCACAATGCAGACTGGCAAATTATCTTTAGACTTTATGTACTCAAAGTGTGACATATATGAGAGGGAACTTTTTTTGTCCCAGTGGACCCCTCTATGGACTGCACAACTGGGGTGGGGTATGTCTGTGATTTGGGATTTGTTTCTGCGTGGACTGGTGAGTTGTCTGCCTCTTGCCCAATGACCAAAGGACCATATATTAGATAATGGACAGATATATGGATTTAACACATTTTTTGTGGTGTAAAAGTTTGTATGACACACTCTGAATCAACACCTTCAGGAAACCCAAGAGTGACTATCTTGCACTTGGAAAGTTAATGCAGAATGTCAATCAAAAGCATTGACACATCCTTTGTGTAACAACTCAGTGTAAGAGAGAGGCAGCATTTGTTAGATAAATCATATTCTGAGGTTTGGATACCAAAGTGGGTTACCATGAGTCCTGTGCTGTGCCTGCAGACTAGATCTTCGTGTTGCATTGCTTTTTATCCAAGGTAGTGAATGTTCTAATAGCTGTTTCAAGGAGCAAAGTATACAGTAAATTTTGCAGTATTAAATTTAACATTGTGTCCGAGTCTATTTGGTCCTTATTGGAACTGGTGTTAATTTAAATCTTTCCATAGTGTTACATTTTCAGAGTAAAATTTAACTCAAAATAGAGTTAAAGATGAGCATAATAAAATATTGGATGAAAACAGCCTCTAAGAAGAAAGTTCAACAATCTAGGTACAGTTGGGTAATGATTTATATATCAGGCATGTGATCAACTCCAACCACCAACAACCTATTTACATGCAATGTAATTTTTTAAAATTTCATGAAGTCTTTGCTTTATCCAAGGCCACTGATGAAAAGAAAAATAAAAAATAACCGGCTGTTGACAGGCAGAATCGAACAATGTAGCTATAAAAAGTTTCCCATTTTCCTTGAATCATAATATCTCCCTCCTTTAACAATAAAACATATTTCCACACTTTTGCCCAAAACCAGTAAGGTCAGCTAAAAAAAAAAAAAAAAAATGTAATCCTATAAATAGCTCCAGAAACAGGGTGGGAAACACTGTGTGGACCTCTGAACGTCTGGGTCAGTGGAAAGGTCACAGGCAGGCAATGCTTTCTTCTAACTGTTCCTTCATAAGCAGCGGTGACTCCCACAGACAGCTGTTCACAAGAGTTTGCAGACTAAAAAACAAAACAACTGTGAACTGGGAATGTCTGCAGTTGCATTTCCCACCGCATACAGCAGTACTGTTTGTGTTTACAGACGAAAAACAAAAGACACACACCTTTCTTTATCAGTTCTAACCTTGATACCTTGTTCTTTGGTTACTGAAGAAAAACGGAGGGAAAGAGTTTAATCAAGATCATTTTTCTCCATGTTGTTTGAATCCAAAGAGAGGATAATTTAGTAAGACATCTCTGCTCTTATTTTAGAGTACACTATGATTATTTCAGAGCTACAAAACTGCTGGACGGCGTGCCCTTGATCTCCAATAATGACCCGTACCCTGTAAATCAGCAGCATGACCTGAGTATGACCGCTAGGTGGCAGACTATCACACTGATATGAGGTATGTAGCGTTCAAAGGGATGAACAGAGGTCCTGCTATGATGTTGTAGTTGGAGAAATGGCCAGAAGAGGTCAGAGTTGTTCAACTTTTGTGTGTGTGTGTTTCAGTCCAAAACAAAAAGAGTTATAATTATAAATACGTAGCATAAGATTTTACGTAGTTGAAGGTCAAACTGACCTGGATGGAGCATTTTAAGAAAACTGAACTCCAATCCAAAATATTTAACACCAAGGGTTATTTTAAAAAGATTATAAGCAGTGGCAGCTCTTATCTTATCTAGTAGCTCTTATCTAATGATGAGAAATTTTATATAGCAGTTTAATTTTAAAATCGGCATACTTTTCAAAACATGCAGTCACTCCTTTTTCTTTCACACATAGTACACTGAAGTGGTGCATTGTCAAAAGTGGATCTTTTTTCCCTCTTTATGCAGAGAACAGTTCTCTGAGTGCTAAAGAGAAACCCAAAAGATTTACTTTCACAAGTGGAGTATTACGGCTCTATGTCAAAAGGTTTATTTCTGCTTAAAAAGTGGGACTTTACCTGCGTTATTAAATGTCACTATTTAATAATCAGAATTTCCAAACTGCCTGTAATATTTTCTTAAACAATTTTATCTGACATTAAAATTTGTATGAACTGGGAGGGGTTGGGGGAATAAGTCTACAAAGTATCAAAAAACTTTTATCTCCCCATTTCCCTATTTAGTCTTTGCATCCACATTACCTTTTCAGTACTTTGTCTAGACCACTCTCACTACAATCTGCAAGTCTTTAATATTGTATTTCTTTAAATTAAACTACAATTTTTTTGCCCATTCTTTTTTGGAGAATTGCTCAAGCTATGATATGTTATCTTGACGATAGTTTATATGAGTTGAAAGGTGCTGATCTCACAGGAGATCACCTTTACGCTTTCTAGCCTCCATAGTTGAAACCAGAAGTTTTCATACACCAAATAAATCGACACATCTACCTTTTGTTTCCTCACTGTCTCTCTTGTTTTAGGTCAGATAGAATCACCTAAATTACTTCTATATGCTAAATTCCACAATAAGAAGAAAAACAATATGTCTGAGATTCATTTTTGATCATTTCAATATCAAGAATTTACATTCCTGACACTGAAATGAGTTCAGTGTTTGAAATTGCTTTTGAACTTCATTATTTGGGTCAAATCTTTTCAGTTTTCTTCCTCAAGCTTCTTAAAATATTTTTGCTGAACCTTTTCAGATGTTCTCCTACTTGAGGTGAGGGCTTTGTGATGGTCACAACATTACGTGGGATTTGTTATCATTCAGCCACTTCGGAACCACTTAGCTGAGGGTCATTGTGCGTCTTGAAGACCTGATGGTGCAAAAATAGATTATGCTAAATACATAACAATCTTGGAGGCACCAAGATGTGAGAAAAGAAACTGGTGAAATTGTTGCACAGGTTGACCTTTTAGCAGGAATGGCCCGGTCAAATCAAGTTTATTTATGTAGCACATGTAACCTCGGTAATTCTGATCGATCAGCATAAATCAGTTCTGTTGTGTGAATAAGGGCCAGGAGACAGGATGAGATGAAACGTCATTTATCTGTGCGAAACAGAATATGGACTGATCAGGAATCAGGTTCATCACAGCGGGTTCAGCACCTTACGAGGGACAGCATTTCATGTTAGCAACAAGCTAACATAGCATTTTACTGGAGCGTTAAACTCAGTGAACCTACCTCGCGCCCATCTCTCATGAACTGGCAACGAGATGTTTGTGTTCACTATATTTAACCCTGCCAACCACCAGGAGGGGGTGCTGTTTCACCCTTTACACATGAACCCAAACTGGGAAGTAATGACAAGTGGAATTCTATACAATATTAACTATGTTACACACAGGCATTTCAAAGTGTTTTACATGGTAATAACAACACAGTAAACAAACAAACAAAACAACGTTTCATTACATTGCACAAAAGTCCAATGTCCAGACCTAAATTTAATTAAATGTAATATGATCTGGTACAAAACTTGAACAATTGACAGTCACTGATGAGTCATCCTGAAATAATGTCCAAAAAAAAAAAAAGGATAGTTAAATATGCTAATCCCTACGTTGACAAGCTGGCACAATATCCCAAAAGACTTGCAGATGTGCAGCTGCATACCTAGGTGGGCTGCATGTGGGATAAATGTAGACAACAATATGGGTCCTACATGGTTTTGTCTGCATTTCCATCGTGGCCCTACATGCCCAGACAGATTTTCTATCTGGGCACACCCATGTAGGGTCACCATGGAAACCACAGACAAAACCATGTGAGACCCATCTTGTTGCCCACATTTATCCCATATGGGGCCCTCCTAGGTATGCTGAGTCAATTGTACCCTCCACATTAAAAAAAAATGTTATTACTTGAATATTATTATTTTTTTAAAAACTGCCTTTGTTTTGTTCCACTTCACATAAACACAACTTGTCATAGTCTATTTTTATAAAACCCAAATAAAGTATGCTGAAATTTGTGGTTGTAACTTAATATGTGAAAAAGTAAGAGGGCTTTGAATACTTTTGCAGTGTATTTCAGATTTTCAATCACGATTCATTTTGTTTTGTTTAACGACAAAACATTGAATATGTGAATTTTGTGTTTTTTCCTGTATGCTTAAGATTAAATTCAAACAATATTATGATAATCACTGATACTCACTGGATCATATGTATTATGCTTAAGTTATTTATTTTTAACTTGATGTATTCTCTAGAAAAAATGCTAAACGTTTCGGCGGCTAAACTTGAACCCCTCTAACCATTTTAACCACTTCTAACACAAACTTAACCCGTGAAAATGTCATTTCCTGTAAAATGTCCGGTCACGTGGTTATTGAGGTTTACCCCCGTGCCCGCGGTGCGTGCTCGGAGGTCAGGTGCAGGAGCAACTTCCCCAGCAGAAGTACGCATGCGCCTCAGTATGTAATCTTTCCTCGGAGGTTAACGTCCAAGTACCCATTGACAGCAAATTGTCGACAGAAAAAGTGAGAATACTTTATATTAATGTACGCGGAATAAGTTTGCGGAATATTCAGTGGATGTATTTACGTTGTACTTTTTTCCTCCTGGACTCAAAGTTAGTTTTGTGGCTTAACTAGACTGAAACCTAATTCGTGGGAGCTAGTTCCGCCTTGTGCTCCCTGTGGGTCATGGACAGCAGCGACGAGTGTCAGGAGTAACCAGGACACCGGTGGGAAACGCGCCTCCGGGTTTTGAGGGTCCATCTCTACACACTTAAAGTACGTACTAGAAAGGGTGAGTATCTGCTGCGCGCGACACTCCACAGTGAACAGGGATGAGAAGTGGGATCTCTTTATATTAAGCTCACATAGCAGCAGCAGTAGTGGGACAAGATGTAGCCATCTGTTGCTGGCTTACTCAGCTTTAGCCGCCAGCGATCAGGAATTAGCAAGATACCTTTATCGATGTAATAAGTCACTCTGTACTAACTACCGAAGTTTTTGTTAGGTCGGAAGAGAAACATTACTAGTAGAGTAATGCTTTATTCCAAACTGTGTAGTTCAGTATTTGACTGGCGTTTGTTGGGGCGAAGCTAAATAAGCTGTAGAAGTTATCTAACCTGTTAGCTGAAGTTCGTGTCTGATTGGAAGCAGGGTAAAGAGTTATTCCACCCTTTTTGCGAAAATCTGGTCAAATCTGACCCAACCTTCACTGCAGTATTCTGCACTGTTACAGTCTCATTAATACACAGTCTGAGATTAAGGAGCCAATTAATCTGCTTGTTTTAAATACTAATTGTGGAGATTTCTAGACTGTCTTGACTCGTAGATGACATTAAATTGGATAAAGTATCTACTCTACAGGTCACAGGTGTATAAATTATGAATTCATCAGTGTAGAATAATACACTTCAGGTTTATGTTCTATATTTTGTACTAAAGCTAATCAAATGTAGTTCACGTTCCTCATAAACAGGGAAACGGTATTGTAGTTTGGTTCCAGATTAGAGGTTGAATCAGATGCTAAACAGTGTGTTGTCAGTGTGCACCTTGATATGAACGCTTGAATTCATCCTTCTGGATTCCAGACATGTACTCGATGTTTGAATCCCAGCTGAGGCTTTTTATGGCCGGAATGGTTAAGGTGTGAAGTAGAAGGAACAAGTCTGCCCTTTTACCAAGCATTCCAGGACATTCCTTTGTCAACCCCTTGTTCTTGTTCTGACAAGCACTGTGTGCCTGAAAACAGCAGCACACCCGGTAGGCACAACCGTATAGCTGGAGGACAAAAAGGAGCTGCTTGTTCTAAATAGACAGCGCCGTGTTCAGGTCAGTCGTGTTTCTGGTGCTTTGTACGTTCACTGTTTTTAAAATTGAACTTCGTTGTCCAGGCTGAGGGTCCATTCTGAACAACGAGCCTGACAGGTTGGGAAGGAATCGGAGCTTCAGCGAAAGAGGCCATATCCGTGTTCTCTCTCCCCCCTTTTCCCCCCTAAGATATTTTTTTTTTACATCAAAACAGTTTGAGATATTTTTTTGTTAAAACGACTGTTTGTTTGGGTTTTTTGGTTTTTTTTTTTTTTTTTTTTGCTTGCTTGTAAATTTTGATGCTACATATCAAGTTAACTAGATTTGGTAAAACAAGATATTTATAGTTGGTAGAAAATCCACATTGAATTGAATGGAGGTTAATGGACACGTTCAGAAGAAATTAGTTAAGCTCTTAGTGAAGTTTGTAAGTGTTGTGGAACCGTGAGAGTTATATAATCATATAATCAGATCTGTGTGCCATCATCAACTATTTGTTGACAGCGGCTTGCTGCAAATCCACACAGCTTGCTCTCTCTCTCTCTCTCTCTCTCTTTCTCTCTCTCTCTCTGTGGCTGTCTCTCTTTCTCTCGCTGGCTGTCTCTCTCTCTTATCATGCAAATTGCAGCTCAGCAATTCATTTAGTGATGCCAGCTCTGCAGAATGACCTCAGCACAATGGATGATTGTGTTTCTTTCAATCATGAAGTGCTCCCAGGGGCTTGAGGGGGGTTCTAATGATCTGATAGGAACTCACGGGATTGTGTGAATAAAATCTGGATAAAGGAACACAGTGAACTTGGACATTTCAGCCAATAAAAATAATAACAAATGAGAAATCACATCTCTGAAGGGTTGTAAAAAGTCTGACTGACAGGTAGGGATGCACCGATATGGAAATATTGGATCAATGTGAGTGTTGCTGTTCTGGTTGATAATCAATATGTAGCAATATTGTATATGTTACATTCTCTACACAGTTTGACACTGTGGTCTGATCTGTGGGATTGAATTTCACTGATGCTAGTAGTCTTTTCTTTTTTTTTTAACAAATTCCTAATTTTCAGAATTTCTGTTCTATCCTTCCTGTTGGTCAGCATTTAATTATAGTATTAGCAGGGATAAAGTCTCACTATGTGTCCAGGTTTGTCGTAGACAAGTATTTTAGTAATCTATTGATTATTTTGAGTAATCAAATAAAAAAAAAATATAGCTGCTTAAGCTAGTAAAAGAAAGATGAAAGAGAAAATGGTAGTAAAAATCAATTCAGTTCTTTGTTATGGGAATAAGAAAACATTTTATTTCTTAAAATGCAAAATGATTCAAAAATTACTTTTAGTTTCAAGTTTGAAATGTGAAAAAGCTTTTTAAAGCTCAAGAACAGATGAGGAACAAAATGTTTTACATTAACTTTTAAAAAATCAAAAACCAAACAGAAACTGAGGCATTAGTAAATGCTGTCTTTTATATTACACTCAATTTTCAGTTGCAAATTTGAAATATGACTTTATTTTTTCATAAAATGGGTATCTCCAAGCCAGTTTTTTCCATGCCATCAGTTCTTTGGTCATTGAGTACGGGTAATGTTAGCTAAAATGTATTTCCTGTACATGTAAAACATGTCAGATTCTGTACTGACAATTACAGATAAAAGTTTGAGTCCTTAGCGAAGGGAACAAAAACGTCTTTTGAGTTTAGATTGATCCCACACTTTGACATTTTAGGTCTTTCTTTTCTTCTGTCCCTTGCTGTCTCCCTCCATAGCTGCTTATAACACTTAGCATTCGTCAACAGCTTTTTGGTTTAAGGGAGAGTGTTGTGCAACACAAATAATCATCTCGTTGGAACACAGAGCACTAAATTGTAAAGCATAATTTAATGAAGTATTTTATCTGAAAATCTAATTAAAAAAATGGAATCCCTTTGTGTGTGTAAAACAATATGATTATGTTTTATACAATCATGTAAAACGTAATCATGTTATGATGCTAAAGGATCTTTATGGGGGTGTAAAACTCATTTTCATTTCACATTAACATTGTGAATGTTCTCAAAAGGCCAGCTGTGTCAGAACGTATTGATAAAACTACCTGTTAGAATGTTATATTATAGAGGTGTGCCGA